GATTTAGATGAGACAAAAAACAAGGAATATAAATCCAAACTAGACCAATTTATTCTAGTACCTTTCCAATGATATATAGCAATATACACATAGAGTTACATATACCGATATACAGTTCATCAAATGTGAGTCATTATTTTTTTACCTTAATCGCATTTAAAAATCTGTAAATCGTCTGATATTGGCGTCAATTTATCAACACCGCCCGTCAGTGCTCCCAGTGCTTATTTTAAAGAAGCTTTAACGGCTTTATTTTTTAAAATTAATATACATAGAATAAATTTAATGTCATAAATTATTATGTAATTATAGATAGAAGACATTATATGTCTTCAGTATAATTATTTATACCAAAAACGGCTCTATTCCTTAACACGTTGAGAGCGTTACATACACCCGGGTGCATGCAAAGCTAATTCTTTTTATGCATCACTGCTCAATATAAGTTTTTACCAATGTGCGGAATCAATAAAATTGTCAATTTTTAACCAATATTGGTCGTTTAAGTACCGATTTACTATATTAGATATTCTTGATAACGCTGTGGTATTAAAATGATACATATATCCAAATACATGTATCGCACAGAAGTAAAATCGTTTTAGTTCACTGCGTTACCCACACCCGAGTATATGTAAAGTACACGTGCAAATTCTAACCTAAAATTTTTAATTGGTGTATAGTTACATCGTGTTTGTGTATTGTTAAGTAGAATAAGTGCTAATTTAAAGTAAATCGTTATTAAAATGAGTAATCGAACCAAAAGAATATTAAATTTAACGGTGCTTACCGAAAAACATAAAAATGTTAAACAAACTTTTGAAGTACCGAATACTCAGCAAGGAAATTATTCTAAACCAGATACGTCAGCATCTTGCTACAAAAATGGTGATAAACAGAACACACAAATTTATCCAGAAGAAGGTACGAAAACGTCAATTGATGCAATAGCAGCAGAAGGGGAAAATGCAAACGTTTTAACAAATGCAGAAGTGTCAAACTCACCCATTTCAAGTACGTCTGTATTAGACCCTTTCGATAGCGATGATTCGATATTAGATAAGACATATGAAGTTTCGTCAGCCGGTTCAGATTCAGATAATGAATCTGAATACGATGATAGTTCATCTGACTCTCCTGAATATGATAATTACAATATAGCAGACGAAGAAATACAGGAAATAGTACCGCAACAGCAAGCAAGTTCTTGGGAAAATATTCGTGTAAAAACGAGCGATTTTGATCTCTTTCAAGAATCAGATGTTATAAATATAGACAACCTACCGGCCACAATTAAACCCGTTGATATATTCAGACATTTTGTTACCGACGATCTCTTGGAACTAATTGTTAATGAAACCAATGCATTTGCAAATGATCATATTCAGAAGGGATTCAGAAGCAAATCTAGAATTAGATTGTGGACAGAGACAAATAGTTATGAGATGTTAAACTTTTTTGGCGTCCTTCTAATCATGGGATTAAATTCAGTGCCTAGTATTTACCAATACTGGTCTAAAGATCCTGCTTATCGCAACGGTTTCATTGTTACGAAGATGAAAAGAGACAGATTCCTTTTATTGTTAAAATTCATTCATTTTAATAGGAATGAACTTGCCGATGTGAACAACAAGCTATACAAAATTAAACCAGTATTGAAAATATTACTAAGAAAATTTTCAACAAGTTTTTACTCCAGGAAGAACCATTGTAATAGATGAATCCATGGTACCATTTCGAGGAAGGGTACATTTTCGACAATACATAAAAAATAAAACGCACAGGTATGGAGTCAAATTATACAAATTGTGCTCAGGAAGTGGTTACACTTATAATGTAACAATTTATACAGGAAAGGCTGAGAACAAATTGGTTGATATTTCTCACACTGAAACGGTGATTATGAAATTGATAGAACCTCTAGAGAAACACAAGGGTAGAATCTTATTCGCTGACAACTTTTATTCCAGTATTCCTGTTGCTGAAAATTTGTATGAATTGAAATTTCTGTATTGTGGTACACTAAGGAGCAATAGAAGAGGAGTTCCACAAATGTTCAAAAAAAAAAACATGAAAAAGGGGGAAATTGAAGGAAAGCAGAAAGGCAAAGCCAAAATCATCAAATGGATGGATAAAAGACCAGTTTTAATGATTTCTACCATTCCAGAACACGATGCTGCACTGATAGACACTGGTAAGTTGTAATTACAATTTGTTTTCAGTAAATAAATATTCATTTATATCTATTTTAGGTAAAAAAAAATCGCAAAAATGAAAGTGTTATGAAGCCAGCATGTGTCCTCGACTACAATAAAGCCAAGAAGGGGGTGGATGTCAGCGATCAAATGAGTTCTTACCACTCTGTACTACGAAGAACCTTAAAATGGTACAGGTAATGTTAAACATGCACATTATATCACTATTAGTTGTGTGTTCAATTTGTTTTTTATTTTTCAGAAAAGTTGCATTTGAACTCCTTTTTGGTACCACCGTTGTTAACTCTTGGATTGTATTTAATAATCTGTCAACTGCAAAATTAAGTATTACTGATTTTAGAAGACAATTGGCAGAAGAATTAACCTCAGCAGCACCTTCAGCTTCAGCAGCATCATGTAATGAACGAATAATCGAGCAAGTCCCCAGAAAGAGAATCCATACTTTTGTAAAACCTGAAGGGCTGGTAGAAAAAAGAAAAAAGTGTGCACCAGTTGCTACAAAACACTTCGGATTACCCTATCTAGTAGAAAAGCCGACCGAAAAGTTCGCAGAGTAACCTCATTCTGCCAAGATTGTCCAAATACCCCAGGATTTTGCTTACCGTGTTTTAATAATTTTCATTGTTAATTATTATTATTTTACTTATATTAATGTTAATATTATTTTATGTATTGGTACAGAAAATAAACGCTAATTTTATTAGAACATTGTATATCCTTAAGTTTATATTGATAACTAAACCTGTATTTATATGCGTTACATATACTCAGATATATGTACAAATCGAGTCTAGTATACTTTACTACCTTCTTATTACAGAAAATCAACCGGAGTGCTCAATTATTTACGTCACTTCCTCCTAGATGGCAATACAGCTATTGATGCATACATGGTCTCGGGTGCTTGTATCGCACACAAAAGTAGATTATATACAAGTACCACAGTGCATGTAATGCATAAAAATTAAAAGGGCTAAATTTGCTAACGCTCTCAACGTGTTAAAATTCATAAACGCAGAGAATGTACTTTATGTCATAAAAAAAGCCGTCTTTGGTATAAACAGAAATATATCTATTTATAACGAAAACGGCTTTCTTTATTTTTTAATACCAGGGGTCTCGTCTAACCGACAAGGCGAATCCCCAAGCTGAGTCTCAGTGGATCGCAACGTGGAAACTGCTCTACCAGGTACAACACCCTGTCAGGTACGTAATTCGTCTACAGACAATTCCGAGTTTCAACATCGAAAATATTATAATACCGATGTTCGTCCGTCTAAAGATAAAGTCTACTGGCAAAAGGGCTCGTGCGACAATCGTAGCGAAGTACGATTGCCTAGTAAAGTCACATTGTTTTGAGCCTTTCAACTCTCGGAACTCCAAGAGATATCATTGCCACCTTTGACTAGAAAGGATACGGTCTTAGAGGTGTTCAGGCATAATCCCACGGATGGTAGCTTCGCACCATTACCCGCTCGAGTAAGTGCGTCAACCAAATGTCCGAACCTGCGGTTCCTCTCGTACTGAGCAGGATTACTATTGCAACGACGAGTCATCAGTAGGGTATGACTAACCTGTCTCACGACGGTCTAAACCCAACTCACCTTCCCTGTCTATGGGTGAACAATCCAACGCTTGGCAAATTCTGCTTCGCAATGATAGGAAGAGCTGACATCGAAGCATCAAAACGCGACGTCGCTGTGAACACTTGGCCGCCACAAGCCAGTTATCCCTGTGGTAACTTTTCTGACATGTCTTGCTGAAAACTCTTTAAGCCAACAGGATCGATAGGCCATGCTTTCGCAGTCCCTATGCATACCGAAAATCAGGATCACGCCAGCTTCTGCCATTTTGCTCTACGTGAGGTTTCTGTCCAGTCGCTGAGCTGGCCTTAGGACACTTCCATTATTCTTTTGCAGATATACCGCCCCAGCCAAACTCCCCGCCTGGCAGTGTGCTCGAATCGAATCATGCTAGAGGTAAGTTGACGCTCGAAACGAAGCACACGAACGCTAGCCGGGTATCCGAAAAGCTAGCCTTATCGGAACCAAGAAAACAGACGAACAGCACAACGCAACGAAACGTCACTCCGTGCCTTTGGCTCAAGAATACCGTGACAGTCGGCGCTTTGTGAGCGAACGACGCACGCGTTTCGCCTTACCTAGTAACGGCCAGTTTCACAATCAGTGGTTAACTCTAGGAATTAAGTAACCTTTACCCCAAGTTTAACTGACAGATGCCGTTTCATATTCATAGATTCAGATGTTGGTAGGAAATTATGGGCAATAATCAGATTTTTATGGAATATTGTCAGTAAATATTATGGACATTGACCAGTATAGATGAGTTATGACAGATTTGTTATTGACATGGACATTGACACGTTAGATCGAAAACAATATACAAATATTCTCATTTCAAGTTCTGTTTTGTTCTAGACGTTCTAGTGTGGTAGTTTGGTTTAAATAGTGGTTGTTTGTTCTTCCAAATTAACATCGTAAAATGGAACCCGCAAAAATATACAAGAGATCGGCAAACTGTTCGGCAGAAAAGGAGCAATTACTCATTTCGTTACGTATTAAATATACAAATGTAATTTAATGCCGAGAAACCAATGCTCTCACATGGCACCAAAAAAATTCTCGATGGATGCAATTGGAGAAAGAGTTCAATGTAGCATGTGGGGGCAATGGATATAGAAATTTTAAGACATTAAAAGAAAAATATATGAATTAAAAAAAAAAAGGACAAAAAAGGGTATCTGAAACAAAACTACAATCTAAGATGACTGGAGGTGGTCCATTCGTAGAAAAACCACTATCCGAAATTGAATTGGCGGTTTCAGAATTAATTGGAACTGAAAAAACGTCTGGCCTACCAAATATTTATGATAGTGACAGAGGTATGTATATATTTATATTATGTTTATATATATATATATATATATATATATATATATATATATATATATATATATATATATATATATATATTTATTATAACTTGAGCTTTTTTTAGACATGGACTTAAATCCAGAAAATATGATAGAAGAATTAGAGGATGTACCATACTTGGAGGAAGTTTTTGTAGAGGAAGTAATTCCAGAGTTACATCAACCGTTTACATCAACAACTGTAGACAGGAGCTGGGAATCATATACCACAAAAAACTTACAGCAAATTGTAGCCGAGAAGTTGACAACTCCAAGAGGGTGTAAGGTATCAACTAATGTGCTTTGATTATTTACAATAAAATAATGTTTTGTTTTAGCACGAAAAGAGAATGTTACAATTTAAAAAAGAAAAAGCCAAATTTCCAAGAGGATTGATACAAAATCCAGCGAATTAATTTTAAAAAAGCTGAATTTTGTAAATTATCAAAAAATGAAATTTGATGAAGAGCATCAACTAAGAACAAAAAATTTGAAAATAGATTATGAAATAAAACAAATGAAACTAGATCTATTAAAATAAGATTAACAAATTAAAGAAAAACAATTATTACTGTTAGAAAAGTAGGCACATAATAGTTATTATAAGTTATTATTAGTTATTATAGTTATAATTGTTATAAAAAATAGCATAATTGTTTAATGACTAGTAAATAAGTTTAATTTTTAGAATATTAGAATAAATTTTTATATTTCTTTAGGCTATTTGTTGTATATATTTTTTAGACATTTTATATTTAGTTGTATGATTTATTTTGTAGATTAAGGAAAAATAAATATGTGTGGTATATTGATTTCGAAACCTGCAGTTTTATTAACACAATTATATTTGATGTAGATTCATACAGCAAAAAGATAATGGTGATGTACATGAAATCCTTTACCTTCCTTTTACTGGTTTTTCTTCTACGTTTTCCTGTAGAATTAATTGAAGCAACCTATATCTATCGTTGCTAGATAGCTGCAACCTATCAACCTATGTAGCAACCAGCTTGACAACACTTTTTGTTTGGATTATGGCCTGTTCAAGAATACTTTGCCATTCAGATTTTGCTTATGGCAGAATGCTTATAGGCATATATTTACTGTGAAGGTTTATATATATATATATATATATATATATATATATATATATATATATATATATACATACCCACATTGAGATGAAGCCATCGGTAAAAATTAAATAAACAATAGTGCTCTTTCAGTTTTTTCTTGTGTGTTTTTTGTTTCGATTCTATCGTTTAGTTTTAAAGTTTTTTAATGTTAAGTTATCGTAGAGTGTTTTTAACATCTTTAAAAAAACCTACA